GAATTTTTGAGTACTGGAAAATCCATATCCTAAAAGATGCGTTTTATTTTATTTAATAATAGAATTACTCTTATAAACAATGGATACAATTAATTTTAGTTTTTCACTGGGGTGCCTAAAGGATAAAACCTTACACAGTGATCAAATCAATTGTTTCTATAACAGCTTTAAATTTTCAGCATAAGTTTGAAGTTTTCCAATAGTTGTTGATAACCATCCTAACTTATGTTGCTTGGCGAAATATTATCAAGTCCACTACTATTAAGTCAAAAATGACGAAAGTAAAAACCTTGGCTTAAGTCAAAGCCCTTGACGAAATAAAAAATCATGAATTAAGGAAAAATTTTGATGAAATTAAAAACCATTTAATTCCTAATGATTATTATTTGACAATTTATTTAAAATCCATTTGAATTAGGCGATAATACGAAAAAATATGTATCAACAAAGTTATTAAATTTATAAAAGATGCTAAAAGAAAGCAAGTTCCACATCTATCAATAATTTGATTGTGCTCATAATATAATTAAAGCTACCTTTCTAAATTCTAACCTCCTTTCTAAACTAGTTTAGAAACTCATAAACTATTTCGAAACTCCTAAACTGATTTATGATCATATGACATGTTGTTTGTACTGTAGAATTATTTTCAAGTTTTAAATTCCTTCATTTAAATTTAATCTGAGAATTAAAGTCCATTACATTTTAGAATGCTGGAATATTTGTTTGAGATATTTTAATTTTCCGTGATCCATAAAATTATTACCAGTCACAGGACTAGGGCTTCTGATAGTGAATGATATTCGAATATTCATGATTATTATCACTTGATATTAAAATAATTATTCGAATATTTGAAATACTTATGACTATTTGAAATACTTATGGTTATTCTAAATACTTATGGTTATTTGAAATACTTATGACTATTTGAAACATTTACAACTATTTGAATACTTATGACTATTTGAAATACTTATGGTTATTTGAAAGACTTATGACTATTTGAAACATTTACAGCTATTTGAAATACTTATGGTTATTCAAAATATTTATAAAATACTTATGGTTATTTGAAAGACTTTTGACTATTCGAAACATTTATGACTATTCAAAATACTTATGGTTGAAATAATGGAGAGAGAATCCAAATATATATCACTGACAAGTGATTTTTGGACTTCTTGTGGCAAACATAGATATTTGGGAGTAACTTGTCATTGGATTTCTAATGAATATCAACCACAGGAAGCTTTGTTATCATTGGTTCACATCCCATATCCACATACATCTGAAGTTATTTGTCAGAAATTACAAGAGATAATTTTTTGTGGAAATTAGAAGAAAAGATTGTCTGTATAACTACAGATAGTGGTTCCAATTTTATTAAAGCAGCCAGGCTTTTACAAAGAGATTTTTTTTTATCTCAAGCGTGTTTCATGCAATGCACATACCTAGCTAATATTAATACTAATTACAAATTAGTTACTTTTGCGAAAATTTGTGTATCTTTCCAAATTTGGTTAACTCGCGTTAATATTCCTAGAGTATCACCAACGCATATGGTGGTTTTAAACACCCATAATATACAAAGGACCAGTTACGCCCCAAGTATTTCTAAGTGTTCAAACACCCCGGATAATCAACATTCAAAGATGTGTATTATCACATGTCAAAATCTCAGGTGTGATTATTAATTTTTTTCTTGACAGAAAATTTTTTGGGAGAATTAATGTTGTAGGTGTGCAATTCTTTTGACCGTGTTTAATATATGATGTATACAAATGATGCACTGACATCCTGTTTTCCTGATGATGATGGTTAACTCAAATTTGAATTTTTGGGTATGAAAACGCTCCACTATTAATTATCTCTTAACACATGAAATAGTCAAGTTGGGTGCTTTAATTTATTAATAATCATAATTAGTTTTTTGCTAAAAAAATCATACATACATACATATTATATATTTACAAAATTTCATAATAAAAAAACTTAATTCATCTTAATAACTAAACTACTTTACAATAATTATTTACAAAAGTATAAGGTGTTTTTGTTTAATGCGTATTAAAATAATTTTCTCCATATGATCTATGAGAAATGAAAAAAATTTAATTAATAAAAATGAAATGATTATTATATTAGATAATGAATGAATGAATAAAAGTAATGACTTACCCAATGAATGGACATGTTTCAGGTAATGCTTTATCAATAATTGGAATGTAATTTTGAGCCTTTTCTAGTAAATCTTTTGAAAAATTAGGTAGATCAAAATCTATATCTATTCTTAATTCTCTAAAATTAGAATTTATTTTTGCATAGTTAATCAAAACTTTTAAACATTCATCATTTAAATCTAAAGCACGCTGAAATGATAGTATTTTTAAAGAAGCAGGACATTCTTTTAATAAATTGCCTAATCTTTTTGAAGTAATTTCAAAATCAATGCCAAAATATAAAAGTGAAGATGGCAAAGACTTTGAAAATCTGAGAAAATCATCATTTGATTGAAATATTGATAATAAAACATCAATGTGTAAATGTAAATGTTTTAAATATTTTAAAGAATTTAATAAGTTGATAAGAGAATTTAATAATAAAAATTGAGGATTTTCTTGATAGATTAGGTTTTGAATATTTCTTGTTGTTAATATTGATAATGATAAATGAGTTAAATTAGGGCAATTAAAATTAATGACATCAATTAAACTATTACTGATTAAATCTAATGAAATTGTTTTTAAATTTATATTTGAACTTTCAATTATTGGTTTAATAAATTTTTCTACATTAGCATTTGGTCTATCATCTCTACAATATAAATTTTTGATTTTTGAAGAACCTAAAACTTTCAAAATAGAATTACTAGAATCATAATTTTCTAAACAACAATTGTCAAGATGTAAAGTTTCTAAATTTTTTAAAAATGATAAAATAGGTAATAAATGATTTAATTGAGATAAATCTTTAAAGCATAAGTATCTTAAAGTGGATGATTGAGATTTTAAAGAATTAAATATTTTCAAAGAATCTAAAGGAGACCAAAATTCATAGAATGAAAGATATTGAAGATTATTTTGAGATTCTATTAAATCAACCATACTTTTTACAACACCTATAAGATCGCCATTTTCTTCATAAGAGTGAGATATATTAAAATAAAGATTTTTTATATTAAAGGAGTTGTTGGACAATAGATTGAATAAGTTGCAAATTATTTTTGATTGATAATCTGATTTAGAACTG